AGGAAGCGCGTAGGTTTGAGGAAGCGTTTTGAGAGAGGTTTGAGAGACGTCCGTCGGAGCGGAGCGAAAGCTTTGGTGGTGTCTTGAGGTCAATTGAACCAGCTGCGGTCGGCAAGCATTCACAGTGACCAGACCAGGTGCACCGTTAGAATAGCTGTAGAGTCGCTCAATCCCGAGGATAGGGAAAGTCACAAGAGAGCAGAGCACACAGGAGAGCAAGGGGAAGACAGAATGGCAGAGGGCTTGACGTACCTGCGGTCGGCAAGCATTCACAGTGACCAGACCAGGTGCACCGTTAGAATAGCTGTAGAGTCGCTCAATCCCGAGGATAGGGAAAGTGCAACTCGTGCCCGACCGCAGGTGTCACAACAAAGGGAAACAACAGTAGCCACAAGCTTATTGCCCCAGGGCAGCTGCCCAGGCATCGTGGGGACCGCGTCACACGCGGTGTTTACTCATGTGACTGCCACGAGGAGGATCAAGCCCAGGGGGTCCAAAAGTAGGTGTCAATGTGTGAGGTCGTCGTAGCTATGGAATACCAATAGGAAGACCCATAGCGACCGATGCTGAGTGTGTGCGAAAGCAGTGGGAGTGTTCAAATGCGTGGAAGCACGGATTTGACGCTAACACATCCCAAAAAAAATAATCAAAAATAAAAAAAAAAAAAAAAAAAAAATTCGCCTGGTTCTGGAGATTTGGGTTTTGGGTTGTGCGAGAGAGTTGTCTGTATATGCCAATGGAGCACAAACTTGGGCAAGCCAACGGGAAAAAATTGCCCTGAGATTTGAATGCATGACGAACCTGTGAAACAGAGCAGAAAAGATGACGTCAAAAGTGTGGTTTGCATGTCAATTAAAAAGGTGCCGTTACATTTCAGATTGGGGCGCGAGGCTTTTCCCAAAGCGCAATTAAGGATTTGTGTTTGTGCGTTCGGGTGGGGTCAATCGTTGTCGCCTGATGCAAAAGGCTCGCTTTCGCTGCGTCCCGACTTCCGTTGGTTCAAAGGCCCGCGCTCGTTGGTGCGCGCCAGGCGCCACTGGTAAATCTACAAAGAGCAAGAATCGAATGCCCGAGTGACAAGAACAAAGGAGGGTCCAACTTTGGGCAGGCTCAGCGAGGAGGAGGTCATCAAGTCGGCCAGGGTCGCGCACCTCGCCGTCAAGGCCGGCGGAAATGACTTGCTCGTCGCTGAGCCACACGGTACATGTCGTCATCTTGCGGTGACGCTGCCGGCCCTTGCGCAAGGGGAGACGCGTGGCCTTGACACCCGCCGTTGAGTAGATTTTGACAAAGGGTGATTCGAGGGGAGCGGCAATCAGCTTGTTGTTCGGGCTGACAGACAAGCGATTCACGGCATCGGAAGTGTTGATTGTCACCTCGGCGCGCTGCAGCCGCCGCAGATCCCACACCTGAGCGCACAGGAAAAGCACGAGATACAATCAGCGATATTCGCCAAGAGAGAAGGCCAGACACAGACTAGCTTTGCACGCAGTGCATGAAATGAAAGGGAATGAAGCAGGCAAACCTTGATGGTGCGATCGTCCGAGCCCGTGACGAGCTTGTAATCATCCATAAAGGCCACGCCATTGACTGCTCCACGATGGCCGTCAATGATATTGATCATGGAGAGACTGCCCTGCCTAAAGTCCCAGAGCCGGGTGTTGGTGGAGCTCTCGCGGGTACAGGTGGCGGCAATGTGGCCGTTCTCGTTGCATTTCACGTCTATAGCCCAAAACATGCGGTCAGCGTAGCGGGAACATTGATGGCACGGGCAAATCTGGGCAACAACGAGGCGACGCATTCTTGAGCGTACATGTGACTTGCGCCTCACTACAAGCGTCGTTCTGATCAAGTTTGAGAATGAGTTTGCCTGTTTCAATGTCTGTGAGCGCAGAGGTGCAGTCCCAGCTGCCGCTGAGGATACTTGTATCCGAGGCAAAATCGACGCTGGACACGGCTCCTGTGTGAAGGCGAAGCACGCTGGTGGCGTCCAGGTTGGCCGGGGTGGATACTACGCAAAAAAGATTGAGCAAAAACATGATGCCGAGCCCCGATGGGGTGAGGTCTGTGAGAGGCAAACCGTGAAAGAGCAGGGGCGGGTTTCGAGGCCCAAACCGGCTTGGAATCTAAATGTGATCCTACCGGCATCCGAGACGTCATGCTGTTCGAAATGCAGGTTGGCTTCGGTCAAGGTCTTGGATCTGTCAAGTCCGCAAACACGCACCCCGGTGAGATCAGCACCATGAAGCTTGATGAATTGCAGGAGCACGCTCGGATGGAAACGAGTTTGTGTTTCGTGTCAGTTTGTTCGTATTGGCAGGCGTGCCGCGGGACTGACTCTAGGATGGAGGATGGCACGCGCCAAATGTGCACGGTGTGATCTCCCGAGGCGGAGACGCCGATGGCCGCGGCGCTGCTCTCCAGGGCGGAAGCTCGTCGCAAGGCGACACCGTTGACAGCACCGCGGTGTCCTTGATATGAAAGATGAATAAGGCCGCTGCGGGCATCGTAGAGACGGACAATGCTATCCACGCAGGCACTAGCCAACTGCAAGAGCACGGTATGCCGCGGAAGGAAATGAACCAGCGTCGAATCACCACATGCCAAAAGCAGATGCCAAGCATGTTCATGTCTACAAGGGGTGGTGGCGTACAAGGGCTGGGCTAAGGTGGTTGGAATCTGCAGCATCAGACAGGTGAAGTAGCTCCAGATCCTGGACGGCATCTGTGTTCAGGGTATACTTGACCTGAACCAGACCTGCAGGAAGGTGCACCCCGAAGACATGTGAGCAACGAACAGAGGTATAGAAACCAAAGAAAATGAAGACAGGAGCTGTGCCGATATCGGAACGGGTGCAAAGAGGGGATTGGCATCACGGACCATCGTGCGTCGGAGGTTCGTGTCGTTTAAGCGTGGAAGCGAGCTTGCTGCCTGCATGATAGGCGGCCTGCAAAGACTTTGGAACGATGGAGCGCTACAAGCAGGCCTCGGGTGGGCCCGGCCAAGGTGAGAAAGACATGGCTGCTGGGGCTTTGATCAGCATTGACGGCTGGCTGGGCACACGAGCTCGGCGTGCAAGTTGGCTAGGTATGGCAGACCTTTTGCTCGTCAAACATGTCTTCAGGGCTGGCAATGACGCGCGGTGAGTGCTTGTCCAAAACATCATCGCCATGCAGAGCCAAGCGATGGCGCAGCATGCGGTTCTGTCGGGCCAAGTCCACAGCAATGGCCTCGACCGCGCGCACATGCCTCATCAGCTCTGAGAGCTGCCCATCCTCATCGACCGTCTAACCGGTTGATCAAATGCACGAGTGAGACCCAGCGCTCCCCCACAACCGTACGCATGCTCTCCTCTCAGATCGATCCTCCAACCACCGAGTCCCCTCACCGCTTCAAGACGGGATGCACGCACCTCTGCCGCTGCCATCGACATGGCCATCGTTTCCAAACACCTGAAATCGCGCCACTGCCCAAATGGTCAGTGTTGCGATCAAGTCTCTGAAATTGAAGCTGGAACACGCTCTCTCTCTGCATGCCGTTGAAGTTGCCTTTAAAATCAACTTGAAACTTTGCTCCTTTGTTGCCTCTCTCTCTCTCTCTCTCTCTCTCTCTCTCTCTCTCTCTCTCTCATTTGGACGCGAGAGCGGAGAGGGCGCAACGGATCGATCTCGTCGGAGGAGCAGGATGGCAGCGCCGGGGTGTTTGGATGAGGGTTGCATGGGATGTGCAGACTGCGTCAAGTGTGACGCATGTGAAGGCTGTGCTGATGTACTTCGACAACATCGAAACCCCATCTCCAGTATCAGTGCCGGCGTCTTGGTAAGCAGCCCGTGCCCGCGTCATCACTGCTCGCCTTGCCGACCCAGCCCGTACGACGGCAACATCTCCCTGCATTCTCGCCTGGTCTCGACGCTTCAAGTTGAAATGGCATGCCGGATGCTTCGGGCACACTCCAGCTTTTGAAACATCCCTGCCGCTTTCTGCTCTTGCAGCTCTGAGTGCCGCAATCTCATTCGTCGCTGCTCTCAACAACAACGTAGTTTGCGGTCGGATGGTGGTTCATGATCGATGCCGCCGTCAACGACCATGTCATCAAAAAGCACCATGCCATCGGCGTCATGTCCACCGTCGGCATGTTCATGTATGTTCACAGCGCACGAGCCCTGCCGGAGGCTCAAGCTCCAGCCTCGATCGGCTTTGACGTTGTCGTTTTTGTGTTTTTTAGGGTCAATGCCATCTCGTCAGAAATGATTGGCAGTGGCATGTACACGGAGGGTGCATTGGGTCCAATTGGTCAGCAGATGCACGCCCCGCTTGCCAAGATGCACCAGGTTCTTGCTCTTTGCCACCCACGTGTGCCTGACGCACTCCTCATTGCTTGTCGCTCGTCGCCCTTGGCCTCAGGTGCCCGCATTTGGCTCGTCTTGGGCCTCGTCATGTCCTTTGGATCCCTGATTGCCGCCGTGTGGATGATGGTCATCTACGTGCAGCGAGGTGCGTGCTCGCGCCCTGCTCTGCCCCGCTGCCCATTCCCTCAACCTGCCATTTCTAGCTGGGCCTCATCGGCCAAGGCCCGTTCCACCTGCCTCTCGTCAGATGAAGTCTATCCTGGCGTCGCCGTCTTCTTGCAGAACATGCTTGTCTTCATCAGGTGGGTACCTTGCCTTGATTTCCCTTCTGCCATCTTCCCAGCCTTACATCCACTGACAATCCTTTGCTCCATCTCAACCATCCCAACCCTCTTCCCCCACCCACCCACGTTCAATGCCCTGTTTGGCTTACTTCCCGGTAGCTCCGTCATCTTCAAGTTTGGTCGTGGCGATCCGTACGATTCATTGGGCTTCTAGCAACTCTGCCATCAAAACTCATAATCAAAATGATGGCGTCGTGACCCGCCGTGTTTGTGATGTGTCGCCGTCGGGGACTGTTGTCCCTCTTGAAGACACCGAAAGTCGTCTCGTTAGTTGTTGTATTTTATATCAGGATGGCTTGTATTCCTTCCATGATCTCAAGTCAACAGGCACTCCCCTGAGGGGAATTCTGATATCTCTGGCCGTGACAGTGATTGTGGATGATTCGTCGTGTGCCCATTTTCTTTGCCGTGGCAGTGTTGTTTTCCTTGTGGCTCAACACCAAGATGCACGCGCTGTCTCTCACCTGCTTACTTTGTTTTTCTCATCGCAATTGAAGTGTGCCAAAAACATTGAATTTTGCGAAACCTAACATACATGGCCAAGGGTACTGCCCCTATGCAGTAATGTATACCCCTGCCGACACCCAAGTGTTCCACAAACCCATGGTTGATGTTAACGAGAAGAAAGAGTTGTAGAAAAGCACGCTTCTCAATGGCCCCGGGTCGATCATGAAATAATTCACTCCGACTGCTCATTGTCCTTGCCAATGTTGTGTATACAGCCGGGCACTATGCAACTGCGCTACATGACACTGCAAGTCTGGTCCCGATGCAGACGCTCCTGGTGGACCTGGTACTCTTGGGCCAGCTCCTCCAAGACTGCCTTGCTTGTATCAGGCAAGAGCTGGGCCTCGCCTACCACACACGGATATGTCAAGCCAAAGTGAGCAAGACAGAGCCAAGGCACATGCAGCGCGCTCCAGAAACAACATGGAGGAAAGCAGCAAGCCGCTTACGTAGACCCTGAGCTCGGTAAAACAAGAGATAGGCAGCCTTGCTCTGCTTCTCCACCTCTGACTCGGGCACCTGCAATAAATCAACGCTCATCAGCTGGCACCGCCGAGGAAGAACTGAACTTGGGATCATCGGTGACGTACCTCCCGACAACTACTATCATCAAACAGGTACCATTTGCCGCTTTTGCCCCGCGCATACGCGACGTAGTGCCCACCCCCCAGAATTCCCATGTGCAACTGAGGCAAGAGACCCATGTCGTGAGGAATGCCTGTGCGTCTTGTCGTGCTATAAAATAATAATAATAAAAAAAAAAAAAAAAAAAAAAAAAAAAAAAAAAAAAAAAAAAAAAGAGGCAGACTTACCACAATGGCGTACAGATCGTACAAACGAGGAGAATTCACATCTTTGTACACGTCCTGCAGGGTCCGGCCACGCACGCACGTGATCATGAGCATGTTGCGAGAGGCAGGGAGAGCCAGCGAGTCGGGGTTTGTGGCAAATATTGAAACATGCACAATCCATGTTCTTCTCGGCCCCTATCCTCCCCTCCCTTTTCTCAAGGATAAGACATACCTTGTGAGGGTCTAGCTTGTTGTAGGTGGCTGGCATCGGGCTGTCTTTTACGCCGTCATCGCCACTCTCTTCTCGATCTTGTGCCTGGGCAGGTGCCTCCTTCGCTTCGTCGCCTGAGCTAGCCCCAGCCGTGGGTACTGGCGATGCCCGGCTGATGGCGTTTGACGCACCAGCTCCCTGATCCTCAAGCCCAGGGTGATCTGCCACTGCTGGCGCACAGACATGGTCCACCTTGCCTGGCATTGCAGCCAATGAGTCTGGTGTCTCAACATCAGCATCAGCATCAGCATCAGCATCAGCATCAGCATCAGCATCAGCATCAGCATCGTCCGTTGTTGAATCTGTGGTGGTAACCCCACCCAGCTGCAACCCGCCACCCAAGACCAGTTTGCGGCCGGCAGGTGTGCTCTCAGCCTCGCCTCTCTCGGGGTCGGCAGCCGCTTCAGTCTCCGGCCCAGAGCCAGATGAACTGATGATCATGCGCACCGGAGGCGTCGCGTGATGGTGGGCCGAGTAGGGCCATGGATCAAAGTTGTGCAGCGGCACTTGCACCACCTTGTTGGACTTGCGCCACAAGCCATTGACCTGCTGAAACCTTTTAAGGTGCACAACCAAAAAAGGTGGGATGCTCCAAATGTCGAGCTTCTTCACGGCGTCACGATGCTCCTGCCGCGCAGAAACCACACAGCGTCAAAGAGTGAGGCAAAACGCAGAAGCAATGCCAATCACTCTCTCCACCCCCAAAGTCCCTCCCAGCTCTGATTCCTTTGGGGGAATAGGAAAAAATACTCGGAAAGTAGAATCACGCGTGACGCGGCAATGATGACCGGCCCACTACCACCCGGTTCAGTCGCACGCCTACAGACGACGCCATCACCAACACCAACCTTGCAGTTGCTGCAATACCAAGTGTCATCCTTGGTCATATCCTCGGCTTTGATGAAAGACTTGAGGCAGTCGGCCATGGTCACCGGCTCTTCGGCACGTGAACGCAACTCGCGCACGCTTTCGTCCTTTTCCAACAGAATATACAATGTGTAAGAGCATATTCACGAGACTTGATGCGGTGATGGGAGATCACTCTATCATTTCACGCCTTCAATCTCAACTACACCGCGACACTGTGCTCTGACCTTGAGCGATTGATATTCGGCCTGCGACTGGTAATAAAGGTGGAATGCCTTGCTATCCCAATCCAAAGCAACAAGCTGGCGCTCAGCCAGGGCAACGGGTTGTTCGTCGTTCGGAATAGCGCAGCCGGCGCAGTAGCTGGGCCGTGCATGAATCCATGGATAAATGAGTCAGGGAAGCAGTACAAACATGCTTTTTGAGTGATTGGGACTGCACTTACTTGTACCAAGGGCATTCAGAACAGGCGCTCATGTCGTACTCGGTGATGCGCTTCAGCACAAACGGATACTCACGAGTGGCGTTGACTTTGGCACACAACTCCTTATCCATGTACCGCTGAAGCTGCTTCCAAGCACGCTCGTAAAGCTCCCGCTGGGTGGTCGTGCCTGCCCACCAATTTAACCCGTCCCACCACATGCAAGGAAAGTAAGTGTGACACGGTACCAGAAAGATGCAGTGTCGACCCCGCAGCCTCAGTCCCCTAGCTGGAAATACAAAAGTTGTGGCACACGTACCAAACTTGTACGGAAGGAGTACTGAGGAGCCAATGACGGTGGGCCGCGACGGCAAACAGAGCAGATGGGGGCTGAGCGTGCGCCATTGCCGCTGCACCACAACCTGCAAACATCAAGTACAAGGGATCATGTCAATAGGATACGTAGGTCTAAAGGGAGGGAAAAAAAAAAAAAAAAAGGTTGGGGAATGATTGTCAGAGAGATGCAAGTGTTCGTACCAAGTGACCTGGCACCCGGCGCATGAGGGCACTGAAAGCGCCACGAGGGATGGGAGTGCGCGCAACAACTTCGCGAACCGTGGCGACCAGTTCAGCAGATACTCCGGACATACTGCTACGTCGCTGGGAAGTCATGCTGCCACGACGCTGGGACGTGACGCTATTGCGGCGCTGAGAGGACACACTGCCACGACGTTGAGACGTGACACTGCCACGACGATCAGCCGCAGGTTGACTTCCCGTGCTGGGAAGACGAACTCGAGTCATTCCCGATGAGGATGAAGTGGAGGAGAGGCGATTGCGCCCACTGGCAGAGGTGGTAGACGGCCCTCGTGGACGGGCATTGGGAGCTCCTGCGGTGTTGGTCGAGCCGGTCTGGCCGTTGTCCACTCCCCCGCCACTGGCAGAGGAAGTCGAAATCCGCCGGGTTCGCGGTTGCGATCCGGCACCATCGCCCGGCTTGGCCCCGGAGAAAGAGGGTCGGTGATTCTGGTTGGGCAGCTGGATGGAGCGCAAAACGCGGGAGACTGCCACGCCGTAGTGACAGGCCTCGGCATCGCACTCGAACGCATGCACCATCTGTGAGTTGACCGACCGGATGCGGTCCGTCTCTTCGCAGACGCGATACAACAATCCCTGCCGTGTTTCTGCCAGGATGATTTGCAGCTCACTCAAGCCGGAGGCACGAGCCAAAGCCGTGCGCATCTCCCCGTATGTACAACCCGGCTCCATTTGCAGAGCGTATTTGACGGGGGCCGACCCGTCGAGACGATGCAGCAGCGTTTCCACTGTGGATGAGCCTTCAGAAGGCAGCGGGAGCGTCCACGATGACGCAGGGTCAAACGTGACCGAAGCAAACCCACACTCCTTGCAGCGCATCTCCGATCGTAGCTGACCGTGGAAGAGGTCAACCATGATCGAGCGGTTGCGTGCCACGTGATTTTGCCAGTGCTCTGCGGCGACCACTGCGTCGGGCCGTCCCTCACTGTCCTTGCGCTCGACGTACGGCTTCTCGGTGACACGATTTAAGTCTTCATGCAAAGCGTCCAACACAAAAGCCAGCAATTCCTGAGAATCGTGCTGCTGGTTGCCACTGAAGCGCTCGGCATACTTTTGCACAGCAGCCCGAAATTTAACGGGGGCCACGGACCGACGACCCTCGGACAGTTGCAGAATCAAGTCGCCGTAACGCTTGGCAATAATGCCTTGGTAGCCCAGGACGTTGTCCATGTTCAGCTCGGCAAGGTGGTGGTAGTGCTCAAAGTAGGCCTTGAGCGGACTGGTGTGGTTAAGGCACTGCAGTGCGGCGTTCATGTAGCAGGTGTTACCCAGATTGCTGAGACCCGTGATGCCGTCCGACTTGAGAAGAGTGTGGCGGTCCACGGTGGAGGGATCCATGGCCACGTCATGGGCGTCATCGGCGCTGTTCAAGTTGGAACGCGCAACCGCAAGCATTTCAGAGGGCCAGGACAGGTCGGCATTGCACACCTCCAGTAAAAGCGTGTGACCATCCGTGATCTGCGCTTCTTCCACCGTCAAATCTGTCTCGGACAGAAGAATGGGATGCTTGGGGTTCTTAAAGTCCCAGAGGCGGGCCGCAGCCTTGGTGTTGCTCCTTTCAAAGGTCATGTCGCGCTTGTGTCGCAGAATCGTGTTGGTCACGCTCTCGAGCGTCTCCATCTTGCTGATGTCCGTGTAGAAGAGGAGCGTGACAGAAAGCTTTTCATCGTTGTCCGAGGCGAGAGCGAGACGACCCGCTTTGACAGGCGCGTAATGCATCACTTTGACGTTGATGGGGAACAGTTCCACTTCCAAGGAAGCTGTTTGTCGATTGGCCACCAGTGGCCGGGAAATGACGGGTCCACCGCCATACCAGGCCGACAGCGCAGTCCAAGCCTGACGAAAACGTGTAAACGCATTCGCGGGTACGCAAAGTCAGTTGCTTGAACGGCGAGGCGCCGAGCGCATGCGCGATCGATCGAGGTCTGTCCATTTGGACAAAGCAACGTCATGGAGCAGCACACATACCTCGGCAGAGACGATGACAAAGTCTTTTTTCACCGACACATCGGGCCGCAAGCGGGCGCCCCAATCAGAACGCGTTGACCGACGATGGGCCGAAAGACAAAGGGATTCGTTGTCAATGCGACCCGGGCCCTGAGGCTCACCATCCACGGCACTGGAGGAAGAAGACACGGCGGAAGATGTTGAGCCAGTGGCCCGGCGTTTCCGCCGCGGGCTGATGCCCGTGCCGGTGTTCACTTGCGCAGAGTTCCCCGTTTCAAGCTGAGCATAAACCTTCCATGCACGCCACCACTCGGCTGACAGAATGTAGCAGCGCGCGCGTTGTGTTTCCAACACGCTCAAATCCTTGGCACTGTTTGTACGTAGCGAACGAAAGGCGAGACGGGGGTGAGAGCAATTGTACGGCATCCTATCCAGCTGCGCCAGACAAACAAGGGCTTGGAAATGAAGTTGGAGCAACAACACGATAAAAATAAATCAAAAATTAAAAAAACACAAAATTAAAAAACAATTGAAAAAAAAAAAGGAGGCGGGGGGTCTGCATAACGCGACAGACTTGTGGCGTTTCATGGCAGCAACGATGACGCGTCCTTCGTCAACTGGCGTTTTGGGCCGCAGACAGTACACCAGCATCAAGACTTGATCCAAGGCTGCAAGCAAAGGATCTAGGACCCTGTAGCAGCCCAAATATAAAAACAAATCCGCGAGACGGCCGTCAGTCAGGTAAGAGTGCGTTCAAGCCAGGCTGACATCGAAGCTGCTTTACCACTCACCTTTTGTGCAGGGCCCAAGACGCAAAAGCATCCTTGTCCAGCACGAGGGTTGCTGTGTCTGTGCTAAACGCCTCCAGATCAGCGCGCAACTGCTGGACCTCAGTACTTGCACAAGAGGTGGAAAATAGGGTGGTTTGTTGAAGCAAATCGCCCTCCCCCGAGGCGCTGGGAGCGGCTGTCGGGCTGGTCAGGTTTGAGACTGTAGTTGACGGGGCAGCGCTGTGACCAGGGCGCAGGGTGGTCAGCGCTCGGCGCAGCTCTATTTGTGCGTTGAGCATGCCCAAAATTTCGGTCTCCTGCAACGACCCGTTCTGATCGACATCAAACCAGTCGAACAGTGCTGGAGTTTTTCGAGGAAACCACGCGATATGGTGAGGGGCAGCAGTACAACAGAGATGACAGACGTGCGTGGCATGAGCGCCTGACCTCGCAAGCGGGATTCACGAGAGCCATAGCAACACTTTGCAAAGCCTTGGAGTAATTCGCGAAAAGAAAGGTCCCCGTTGCCATCGGAATCCAAGAGGTGAAACCAGCCTGTTGTCGTGAGAAGTCGAGCGGGCCAGACGTTGGCAAAAGGTTGAGGGGTCTTCATTAGGTGTGCCACGCAATGCAAACAAACCAAAACCATGCATGAGCACGTACGGGTCGCCAAAGCCTCCGACAGGGGAGGGCAGCATTGATCGACGAACAGGCGTCGGTCAAACTTGTGTCGTGCATGGGTGGGACGCAGGGCGTAGTAACGCCGCTCAAAGTGACGAATGTCGTCCTCCGGGACTTTTAAACCAGGTCAGGTGGGGGTGGAGTTGACGGAGAAACAAGGAAGGGAAGAGCCAAGAGCAAGAGAGAGAAAACAACAACGAATGGGGTGAGAACAGAGAGGACAGGTGATTAAAGGAAATGATCACCAGGGGTGTTTGCAAGAAGTCAGATGGTTTGAACAAGGTTAGCAAGCGTACTGCCGGTGTGGTCTTGAAGAGTGCCATAATAATTGAGGATCGGGGGCGTAATAAGTTTTTCTGAGCGAGCCTTGATGATCCAAGCGGTCGCTTGCAGGGTTTCCGCGTGCTCCTGAGCCCAGGCCACGAACTGCTCTTCGCTCATCAGGGTGTTGTGTTGACGAAACCAGTCGACCACGGAGGGGGGCAAAGTCGGTTCGGTGATGAGGAGGACACTTTCAAAGTCAGCCAAGGCCAGGCCTTCAGCATCTGGTGCCACCATGGCCGCAAACATGACTGTGTACATGCCAGGTGAGGATGAGAATGACAACGGGCCATGAGACTGGATCATGGATGGTTGTGCTACAAGAGAGATTTCCAACCCGGACGTACGACGTGCGCGGTGGCGCGGGGAGCCCCGCGTGTACACGGCAAAGCCACAAACAAGAGACTTGAAGTCAATGCCAGTTGGGGTGCCACCAAAGGCTGCGTACAATTTCTGTAACCGTGCAGACGAGACGTGCAGGTGAGCTTGGTTCATGCAGGAACGCCTTTCTCGCGGTTCGGTTGGGTGGGACAAGACGGGGGCAGGACATGATACGTGGGTGCACACACCGATTGCAGGACCGAGGGGACGCCAGCCATCACATGATAACAGAACGTGGCACGATCGAGGTTATCACCATGACCAAGCAAAGCCTCAAACGCGGTTTGGAGATGCTGCACCTCCTTCTCCGGCACTGCGTAAAGGCAAAGTTCTGGTGAGCGACAAGGTCATTTTGGCAGTGGCGGAGTGATTGAACGCACGGAGATCAAGAGCTTCCTCATAGGCGAGGACGCGGGTTGGTTTGGCGCCCATGGCACCCATGGCAGCGGTCGTAACAGATGTTGCGCTCGACGAGTTTGGATCTCGTTATCAATCAGGGCTCATGCGGGTCCCCAAGCGCTGGACATCATTCGGTTGCAAGCATCAAAAGCATATGGTGTGAGCAAAACAGACAAGTCCATGACTACCGCCGTGAAGTGACTCAAGAGCAGATGGTATCGAGGAGCAAATACAGCGGGAGGGCGTGTGCACGACAGACAGAGGCGCCCCAGGGGTGCAGACGTACGGCTAGTTGCTTGAGGCTGCGTCAACGCGGAGAAACGCTTAAGATGACCTGCAGCGTTGAAACAACACTAACATGGTGATGCTTCTCCGCGGTTAAAAAAATAAAAGGGCTCACGGACAACCACTTTGGCCACTGCCTATCCACCCCCGTTGTTGCTGCCACTGTCACTGCTGCCGTTGCTGCCGCCACCGACACTGCACCGACGCGCGTGTGTGTGCGTGTGTGTGTGTGTGTGTGTGTGTGTGTGTGATCAGTACCACGTCAGGATATATCTGTCAACCTTTGGCTCAAGAGTCCGCACCCGAGCCGCAACAACATGGAAAGCAGCACACTGACCCAACAGCCACGGCAAACCACGGCCGTACCAGACAGTCTTGCTTGGGGCGGAGAAAAGAAAAGCAAGGGCCCACTGCCGAGCCAAAGCCAGAGGCCGTACGTATCCCCGGTGCGCTGCCAAAAAAAAAAATATACCTCCAGCAACAGAAAATTTAATAAAAAAAAACACAGTAAAAGGTAATAAGAAGTAAAATACTTTTGGTGTGATCAACGCCACACACGCACACACACACACGCACACATGTAAGACTTAGTACTTTATGCAGACATGGGACTGGAGATTGAATTTGCTCTGGAAATGTGTGTGCGCGGAGACAAGGTGTTTGACGGAGGTTCGGGCCAGGGTGTCAATTATATGGATACAGAGCGACAAAATGATGGTCGCTCGGGTCGAGACCGGCTGCAGAGCAAAGGAACTCAAGAAAAAAAAAAAGAGGGGGGTAAAAAGAAAAGCAATGGTGCGGCGACACGCACACACGAGCGAGAAAGGCAATGGAACACGCATTCTGGATGAACTCGGGATGGAGGAAACGCGGCTTGTAAAGATACACACTAGGTACATGTGAGTGCTGCACCCATGAAAGAACACAGGGCAGTAAGCACAATATCGACAATGGAACTTGAGCGTTTGACCCTTGACCACCAATCAACAGGATCATTGATAACAACAACAAAAACGTTCAAGTGCTCTGAAACGAGAGAGAAGGAGACAGAAAAGGCAGAGAGGCAACCGGCGCCCTTTCGTCAAAGTAAAGCAGTGGTCGTGGTGGGACAAAGGTGTGTCATTGGTGGCATGGCCAAAATCGGAACTACAGCTAAGAAGTGACAACGAGGTCGGAAACTCAAAAATCCAAAAACCAAAAAAAAAAAAAAAAAGTGGGGGAGCCAAGGGGGCGGGGGGAAAGGATACAGGTAGGGAAAACTTGAAAGCTCGAATAACCCCACCTCCCAAGCAAAACAAAAAAAAGATAAAAAGGAAACATGAAGGAAAATCAATAACAGAATTCAAATCAAATCAAATCAAAATCAAAATCAGGGCAGACAGTAGCCCACAAGGGTCCGTCAGAGTCGCATACATGGGCGATAGTCAACAAGTGTCGAGGATAAGGAACGGCAAGTCGCCGATCGAAGCGCCAAGAACGTCGCGCAGAGACTGGCCAGAATGGCAGCCCAGACTGGGCCGATACACAGGGGAAAAAAAAAATCAAGACTCGGGCAAAACCCCAACGAAAAAAAAAAGGCGAGGAAAAGAGAGGAGCCAAGAAGGCGAACCTGGCTCACTCAACATCAGGATGACTGGAAAAGACAGCAGCGTGGGCAAGCGAGGCGGCCAGCGACTCAAACAAGCCACGCAGTCCAGACAAAACGAAAGAAAGGAACGCATAGGACGCCGCAAACTCAGTAACGGGCGTCGACAGACGGCAGCTTGAGTTCCCAATCGGCACCATTCAGGGCTTCAAGGGAGAGACTATCAGCAACCGTTTCCAAGTCGATAAGGGTACCAGAGTCTTCGCACCAGAGGCGACCTTCCTTGAGCACGAAATCAAAGTGATCTTGGTGGCGCACAATGGGATGACCGCAGCCCGGCCGATGATGCTGGTGGCTGTGCCCGCTGGCTGCCAGATTAGTCAGGGATGCTTGCTGGGCGTCCATCTGACTTGAATGGGCGTATCCAGGCGCGAGCGACGTTTGGGGAACGGTAGCAGCGGCAGCAGCGGCAGGCTGGCTGAGAGATGTGGGGATGTAGTTGATGGTCGCCGTCGAGCTGGTGGGCATCTGATGTGTGGGTAGGTGCATAAACTGAGAGGTTTGAGGATGGTGGTGGTTGTGGTGAAAATGCGGGTGCACGTGGTGGGAGAGGGAGGACATGAGGGCTGGTGTAGTGTTGGTGTTGCTGGTAGCGGGTGTTTCTCCAGTGCCGTCGTGCAGCTGGAGCAGGACGGAAGAGGCGTGCGTGTCGCAGAGGGGCTCGCAGCGCTGGCATTCCGTATCGGAGGGGTTCAATGAAAGGTCCAAGGCGGGATGTGAGTTGGTGGTGTTGGTGGTGGCGCCCGCCGAGGTGGTGGCGGCCGCAGCTGCGGCAGAGGTCGAGGTGGCGGCGTGCTCGACACCGGTCAGGAATGTGTTAAAGGTGGGGTTTGAGATGAGACCGGCAGCTTCAAAGAGACTGGTCTCTTCATCCAAGTAGGGGGCAAATTCGGACCGGGTATCACGGGCGGGTTCGAAATCGAGGAGCGCTTGCCAGTCGGTGTCAAAGTCCAAGAGACGGGACATGAGATCGGGCTCTTCGAGGGCCATGCTGGTGTCGTTGGGGGAGACGGAGGGGGCGACGGCCTCGCGCAGACTGCTGGGCAAAAGGTCGTGAAGGGGGCGGGGGTTGGGAACGACTGTGGCGATGCTGGCGCGGGACGCGGCGACCACGGGCCGTGCGGGTTGGGTTTGCAGAGGCATCGGGGCGCGACGGCCGGAGGTCGAAGAGGCGGTGGTGGCTTGAGTGGCGGAACGCTTTGGGGCCGGGGCACGATTGGGACTGTCCGGGGCTTGGGCGGTAGCTTGGCGGTGGCGGGCGGAGCGCTTGCCGGAGCGGCGAGTGGGGGAGGGAGCCGTGGACTCGAAGCTTTCGCCTACCGAGCAGTGCGAGACCAGGGGGTTACATGAGACTGAGCCAACGGTGGAAGGAAGAGGCGAAGCGAACGAGGCGGACCAAATGCGAGATGGAGGCAAGGGATCGAGATGTGGGGCGAGAAAGCCGAGGGATACCTCGATGGATGGGACTCGAGGCATTGGATGTGGCGTTGGACGAGGAATCAGAGGAGTTGCGGCGCGTTGAATGATGACGGCGAACATGACTGCGCAGATCCGAGTCGCGAATAAAGTGACGACCACAGCTCGGCTCTGTGCAGGAGAAGCGATTCTGGGGTTCGTGGACGAGCTGATGGGAGCGCAAATCTGACGCGCGATGGAAGCGTCGCCCACATTCCGGGTGGGGACATACATGCTTCTGCAAACCAATATCGACGACGGTGAGGCTTCGAGGCTCCGCGGGCGTGGTATTGGCGGACCAACCATGGCCAGCCAGGACTCATCCACTGACCTTTTCTTCCGTGTGCAGTTTTCGGTGACGCAGCATGTTTCGGCGGAGTGTAAAGACTTTGCCGCAGTCTGGAAAGTCGCAGACCCAACGTTCCTCCGTCATGTTGATGGTGGCGGCTTGGTGGCTTGTGCAAGCAACATTCACATCAATCGCACCCAGAACCAGCTGGCTGCCTAGTGTCAAATGGCTTGCTGCTGCACCTGGTGTGGATGCAGATGTGTTGGTACGAGGCGGGCGGTCGTCCGTCCCTAAGTGAACGGAACCATCATCATCATCATCATGATCAAAACAGGAAGCAAAGGGCCGTGAGTTGTGATGAACCTTGAGCAAGCAAGCATCAGCACCACCACCACCATTCAAAGAAAAGCAAGCGCCCTTTCAACGTTCAAGAAACAGGTTGGGAAATAGGGGAGGAGGAGGGTGTGACCTTGCTCAACCAGCCTTGAATCTTCTTTTTCTCTCTGGAGAGGAAGAAGTTGTTTCTTTGAGGGTGTGTGTGTGTGTGTGTGTGTGTGCGTGTATGAGTGTGTGAGAGTGAGAGAGAGTGAGAGAGCAAGTCGAGCGGACGTGTCAATCCTTTCCCCTGAGCATGAAGAAAAAGGGGAAGAAGAAGAGCGAGCGAATGTGTGTGTGAGTGTGTGTGTGTGCAGATGTGGGAGAAAAAAGGAAGAAGAAGAAGAAGAGCCTGAGCCGAAAGCACAGACAAGGCTGAGGCAGAAAAGGCAGACCAACTTATATCATGAGGACGTGTGTGTGTGTGTGTGTGTGTGTGTGTGTGTGTGTGTGTCGCTCTGCGCGCGTATATATGTGTGTATGATTCAAGGGTTTCAAAGGAAAATAAAAAACATTAACGCGGGTGAGGGTTGTCCGGCTGGCAGTCGGATGAGCTACCCTGGCAGCCGAGGCAGGCAGCCGAGAACAAACGCACACTCGGTGTGGTATCTGTAACTGGATGCGCGTGCGTGTGTCTCTCTGCCTCTGCGTGCCAGAACAGCGAGAGAGAGAGAGAGAGAGGGGGGGGGGGGGGGGGGGGGGTTTTTTC